GAAAGAAATTGTTGGCCAAAGTCAGTTCGACGAAGGACTGTTTAGAGAACTCTTCTTATCCAAGTTGCCACAGTCTGTACAGACCGTACTTGTGACACTTTAGGGTACTGTAATAGAGGACTTAGCTATTACTGCAGATAGGATTCTAGAGATTACCAAACGGTCTGTTCCCGAAATATGCTCGATGACTAAGCAGACTTCGAGTAAGGATCCTGCAATGATAGAGTTATGCAACTCCATCCAGCAGATGTTTAGGTCGAACATGCATTCTAACTCCTCCAACCGTCGTCCTAAATCTCCTCAACGCAGGAACTGCGTGGTCGATCTAAGTCCAAACCACGTTCACTGAAAAACCCTGACTGGTGCTGGTACCACAACACCTATGGCCAAGAAGCGAAGTGTTGCCGTAAGCCTTGTAACTTCGGAAATGTCTCAAAGTCTGCGGGAAACTATCCCGCCGGCACGCGTTAGCGGCAACCGTCGCCGGTGGCACTAGCCGCCTACTTTACATCCATGATGTGATAAGCCAGACTCGATACTTAGTCGACACAGGCGCCGAAGTCAGCGTCCTTCCTGCTACAGCAGCAGATCGACAGAAGGAACCTACCTTCAACTTACAGGCTGCAAATGGAAAACCAATCGCAACCTTTGGTAGGAAATACGTCTATCTGAACGTAGGTTTACGCAAACCTATTCGGTGGATTTTCCTTCTCGCTGACGTTACAATGCCCATCATTGGCACGGACCTACTTAATCATCATGATTTACTCGTAGACGTCCGCCGAAAACGACTGATTGACAATACTACTAGTCTGTCTATCAAAGGCATCAGCTACATAGGCCCTAGTTTGTCACCCGTTAAGATAAAGGCAATTCTTGATCCAACTTTTCAACCTATTGTTGACAAGTATCCGGAACTTAATTGCCCGTCGAACGACCTACCGTGCATAACCAGCAATGTTATGCACCACATCATTACCACAGGACAACCTGTGACATCTAAAGCACGACGATTAGCTCCTGACAAACTGAGAATCGCCAGGAATGAATTTGACCATATGCTTAGCCTTGGCATCATTCGACCTTCGAATAGCCCATGGGCATCCCCACTTCATATGGTTCCGAAAAAGGATAGCAATGATTGGCGACCCACCGGTGATTACCGGCGAGTGAATGCCAAAACAACCCCTGATTGCTACCCGTTGCCTCATATACACGACTTGACGGCAACCTTATCCGGCGCGACTATATTCTCCAAAATCGACTTGGTTAAAGCGTATAACCAAATCCCGATGGCAACAGAAGATATCCCGAAAACGGCTATCATTACGCCTTTCGGACTTTTTGAATTTCTACGTATGCCATTCGGTCTTCGGAATGCAGCCCAAACATTCCAACGCTTCATTGACGAAGTATTTCGCGGTCTCGACTTTGTATACGCATACTTAGACGACTGCCTCATTGCCAGTCCAGACAAGGAAACTCACCTTAGGCACTTGGACTTGGCATTTGACAGGTTACGCCAACATGGTGTTACCATTAATATTCAAAAATGTCAAATCGGTGTTGACTCACTCGACTTCCTGGGTCACACTATTGACTGCAAGGGCATTCGCCCACTGGCTACTAAGGTTGAGCCCCCCGTTCTGGACGCACCGTAAGGTTCCCAGAATATCTGCACACTTATTTGACTTAACGAAGTCGTGTGATTCACGCAACTCATTCGTTTGTGGTACTGACTATTTTTTTTGACGTATAAATTTTTTTTATATACAGTACCACCGAACACAAAAAAATTTTTTTCTCTCAACAGTTCATGTAACATACACAAAAAAATTAATTAGATGTATTTTTTTATCGATGTTCTGAACTTAGCATTATTTTACTGTATAGTAAATGCACACAATTTTTTTTAACCAAAAAGCTGATTTCGTACATTTTCCTCGACATGGTTCTTAGCGTTCTTGTTTTCTTTTCCAGGTGCGACGGGCACTGGACAGGAAACAAACGAAGCACGGAATCCAACGAAAAACAACAAGGAAGCTATGTACAAACACCCTATTAGCATAGGCAGACAAACCAGTAGGCATACCACCTAGCCGCTCGGAAGTTTTTTTCACCCGAAAGGGAACCATCGAGTTTTTTTACTTCCGGCTGGTTCTGTCTTAGGGTCCTCACGACCCCACTAGGGGGGGAGTGAGCTGTAGCGGTAAATAATTCCCCAAAATTATTGACCACAGCAATCACTCATTGGATGCTGACCACCACTGTTTAAGTCGACTTGTTTAGCTGAAGGCTTCCGGTCAAGCATCCCCGCCATTTGGTACCCCGTCGTGTAACGTGCACGATCACTAGCTAGCCAAGCGTTCGTCTAACGGCTGGTTTTGGTTCCTAAATATATCTCTTGGTTTGGACGATCAATAATTGGCTTTTGTTTTGTCTTTGGTACACGAGAATAAATTAATTAGAAGTTGTTGAACGAGATATCACGTCAACCTTTAAAATCTAATATACAAACTAATATGGAATTTTATACATTAGTATACAATATGAAAACACTGATTTTATGAATACTAAGTAAAATTCTCATGCAAATAAAAGCATTTGTAGCCCACAGTTGATGTTTATATTGACGCCGTATGCATAAATAGACCTCATAAGTTTTCCAGTATGAGAGGATTACACGCAAATTTTAAGAAAATATCTGAAACATCCATACTCTTGAGGCGTCATTCTCTCATCAGGATAACTTGCAGATCAACTTCCCGAAAAATACGTCTACATTAAATGAAATATTGCAAATGTGTAACCTAGAAATGAATTAACAATCTCTGTCAAATGTCCAGGTCTAGTTGCATTGGACTTCACGCTGTTCCCAGAAGACTTTTAGTAACTATATCCAATAACCAACGCGAAGAAACACAGATTGGTGACTCAAGAATCCTTTATTCTTGCACCAATATAGAACCAACCATAAGGTTATTGTACACAAAGTCTAAGAATAGATGTCATAACAATAAATCACGATAATACTTCCGATAGTTTTTCTCCGTCTTCCAAAGAACAGCGAACGATGGAACGATGATTCCCGCCAAAATATAGAGTTGGGTTTTAGCAAACAACCATGTGTTTATCGTTCAATCTTCAACTACATTGACAATCTCACTAATGTCCGGTAAACATAGTTTTGTGAATCCTGCCGAAATTACATACTCCTTCAAGTATGAGCTGAACATGCCTCAGCTCTGAATAGATATGAGCAGTGTTAACAGCATATAGAAACACTTAAAATATTGGAAGATACACAGACCTGTTGTGTTGATGAGGATAACATTGTTATATAATGCAACCTAGACATTCAATCGTGATACTGCATCGGCACTGCTTTATGTAAATGGAAATTGCAGGAGAAATTCATCTTCACTATTTATGATCAAAAATGTTGCAGCATTTAGCATACAGTGTCAGTGGAAATGGTATAACAGACAGTGGATTAATAATAATAGAGCTAACTAGATTCGGTTTTCATTATCAACAGAATTCATGTGTAAAATATTATAATATTGAGTATAATACACTAAGTGAAACAGTGAGAAAAATTAAACGTGTTATTACCTTCTCTAATGAACTGCATTTGAAACAATCACGAGAGCCACCTACACTAGTTAGCCCAGTAGTCATGACTGCTGGAGCCAAGAAGACAAAGGCACAATTTTAACAGAGGTATCTTTCATGCATTTAATCCACATAACACATATTATACTGCGTCGATCAATGTAAATATATATTAAATCCACTTAGAGATAACTTTTCAACTTACCATAATTCCTGTCCAAACAGACATACAGTGAAAGACACATCTACATGATAACTTCTGTTCCAACGGAAGGTACTGTGAGCGTCTGTAGGTGATTCCCATTTGCTCATGGCGTTCATTTATCAAATAGTACTCCTCTTTACTCGAAAATAGTCACATTTATATCCTGAGACGTGAAGTCTTCATTGAATGACACTATGTAGAAAGCTGCAGCTTATACATGAATTAAACGGTTTTTGTAGATGATATTACCTTCAAACTGCCCCATCCTCCTCATTATAGCAATATTTCAACACGGTCCACCTGAAACACTAATCATTGCAACCAATATGCTATGAGTGTATCGCAGTCAGATCATATGAGGTGGGCACCGACTTAACTAGCCAGGAAATGAGAATTCATATCAACCCAGAAGACATACAACACAATTTTATTGAAAGTTATTGACAAAAAATTACCGAGCGAAATTTCATCCAACATGCTGGATAGGTCGAGCCGCCCTTCCTATGCAAGTGCGTCGGTGGCACAGCGGTTGGAACTCTCACCGACCATGCACACGGTCCGGGGTTCGAGATCCCCCCGGCGCACATCTGATATCTACGGTTGGCCTGAAAAATTTGGACTACCGATATCACATGCTGAAAATTCCATACTTGTACCAAAATACGGTGTGGAATCAAGCTATAATCGCAATCACACAAGGTCTCATTTAGAATACCAGGTGAAAGTAGCCCCCATTTAGTTTGAAAAGTAACAGTTACTACCAAGGCGTCCCTAGAGATACTTACTAAGTGTTAAGGCTTCCCCCCATATGAAAAAGTTATATCTTAAACAACGATGTGATTACTAGGTGGTAGTGAAGAGAGTCCAAAAGGCTGTGTGTAAATGGAGCCCATATTCTCTAAAAGGATGTGATTACTGCGGATGACATCGTCTCCTCCAGTGAAGATTTTCAGCGATCAAATGAATGCAAAAAAATTAAATATTTCCAAGATTAAAATTGTCTGTTAGATGTACTCTCCAATAAACTGAAATCGGTTTTTCATCAGCATCATAGATTGCTCATCTCTTACGCACTAAAATAGCTTATCAAACCAATTGATGTGTGTCCTTATAAATGAATACACAATATTTTAAAGATTATGTCTCATTTCATATCGCATTAAATTGAACTATTGTATACATATACTTGTGGATAGATAAAAAGCGGTTTTACAAATTAGGCCACGTTTTGACGCCACGCTTGTGCCTGAGGCTTGTTCGCGAGTTGGGTAACTTATTGTAATAAATTCTTATATGTTTTGAATCAGCTACACAATTTACTGTAGAAGTTCCTTAAATAAAATGTCGGCTGCATTTTTAGAGAAAAAAAACCAAACGGATTAGTTTGTCTCCTAATATCATGATAATGCACTATCGATAAAAAAGTTTCACTAGGAAGTCTCAAAAGTCTAACGACTGGTTTCGTCTTTTAGTACCACCTATACTGATAGTCAGTTTTTTGCTTAGTATCCAGGTTTTCAAAGCTGATTTGTCAGTAAGATTTCCCACCACTGCTTCTATAGTATAATTCCCCTTAGATGTAACAATGACGTTACTTTGTGCAGACTGGTTGGTACTTTTCCTGAAGCCAAGACTGAACAGTACAGACTACTTAACCTTATGTTTTTGACCCTCTTCATGCCTTGGTTTCTTGTGCAACATATGTTAGGTTTTTTCTCTTAGAAACCTGTCGTCAGAGCAGAGGCTAATAAAACATGTGATGTTATCTTGTTTCACATCTGTCGATTGTAATGGTGACTTATTAATCCATTAGAGGAAGGGATTGTAAGTCGGTGATAGTTTTTGGACGTAGTACATATGTTTATTCCCAGTTGGGTTAACAGTAAGTCCAAAATCATTGATTTCGTTTGTTTTCTTTAGATTTGGTTTTTACAGGTATGAAACAAACTTATGCCGATACTGACCTACAGTAGGTGTTGTATTAAGTGAAAGGTCAAAGTACTTGGAAAATAATCTAAACACCGCCAGTAAGCGTCCATATTTGATATTACAAAAGTATTTGGTATCTGTAGTGAATTTTCTTCGGAGTTTCTCACTTTACAAACAAACGACACTCTTCGAATAAAAATGACTCAACCCTTCCAGTTAGAAGAACCTGAATACTGATTACAACAAGCTTAGTCCATTATAATCATTGAAAGATTTTGTCTGATCCACTAGATAATTTGAAATTATTTCGCAAGTAATTTATGTAATTTTTGATTCGTGATGTTGCGATGTTTTAGGAATCACAGATTGTCATTTCTAAACATTGCATTACATATTTATCATAGAAAATGCCAAGCTGTTTCTGATCACTGCAAATTGGGGTATTCAATAATGTATAATGACGTTGCGAAAACATAGCTTGCGCCACATACTTTCTCGAGTACCCCAATTATACAGTCTGCACCTTCCTAAGTGGCTGAAATCTCTAGCCTAACACTTCATAAATTCATGCTATGCTTTCGTTTGACCGCCCCTATCTTTTCTAACCTAATTTTACGTCAGTTAACGCTACTTGACGAGGAGGGCGATATTTCGACCTGCACAACACGTGTCATAGCCATCCAAATGGATGCAGTTTCACAACCTTATCGATTAGGTTTCTTTCTCTACATAACAAATGTCTATTACGTCGACTGAACAACCTAAAACTTTATATAATGTATTGGTTCAGCTTATAACTCCTCGGGAAAGCACACATCAGATGAAAAGGTTTGTGAAGTTAGGATGGTCAAAGCTGTATGCAGAAGAGTGAATAGTGATTTTCAGGATCTGGAGAGTGACAAAATCTACAGACATCCCTTTTGCCTTGAATGACTCTGGGTCGTGTCACCAGTGGTCTGTGACCATTGGTTCTCAGCATATCAAGATGCCAAGATAGGCACTAGGGTCTTCCATGTAACAGACTAACAGTCAGCCACTTTGTACGCCAACACTATATTTCTAATCTAATAACACCTGGCACCTTTTTAGTTTATTCTGACTTTTTTAAACCGTACGGGTGTAAGAATATATATATATATATACGCAGGATTAAAAAGCCCATCGTTTATTTCACTGTCTTCAGTTGCTAGTAACACAAAAGCAGATATATATATATATATATATATATATATATATATATATATTACTTCAATATTATTTCAACTCAGAGGGTATTTAATAGAATAAGAAGTATGAATACAAGGTAGTTATTAACTAGACAAGCAGTACTCTGCGTATGTCAACTCCAGCTGCATTTATCAAGACATGTCACACGATAGGTCTTCCCAGCATAATTATGACTCTCACTTTCTATGTACTGCCGAACAACCCGATTTGTAGAGGGGTCACAAATAGTCTAGAGCTTTCTATCGAAAGCAAGTCAGAAATTCTTTTGGTTGCTGCACGAAATTATAAACGTCAGTTCCGTGTTATTGCTTACACGATCTCCATGAGCGAAGAAAAATACTTTACTACCAAACCAGCCAGTTCACATCGTACAACAATGCAGTAATACAATCATTATTTTGACGGGTTTGTTCTGTTTGACATTTTTATGCAGTAAATAACGTCACGTGCACTGTCTAGCGTTTAATATTTTTTATTCTCCGAAGTAGCTGACAGTTGGCTTGGTTTTTCAACAGAACGCTACTTTCTAAAACTACTTATTACGTAATCAAATATTAAATCTGGCGTTTGTTTTAAATTTCAGCCCTCAAGATGGTTGTTTATCATGATCGTAACCTAATCATCAACTACATCCCAACTTCCATAACAGATGCCGACTTGACTCACTTATTTTCGTCTGTTGGTCCCATCAAAACATGTCGAATAATTCGGGATAGGAATAGTGGATCGAGTTTTGGCTTTGGATTTTGTGAGTATGAAGATTCTGATTCTGCTCACAAAGCAATTTCACGCTTCAATGGTTACCGCATAGCCGATAAAGTTCTGAAGGTTTCATTGGCCAAGTTGCAAGGACGGCTGTCTCAGAGCTCAAACTTGTATGTTAAGAACTTTCCAATTACTCTTAATGAAGACAATTTAACAACTGAGTTTGGACGATACGGTCGTGTTGTTCAGTGCCGTATACTGCGGGACCATGAAACTAATGTTTCTAAGGGAAGTGCATACGTACTTTTTGAGAATCCTTCTGATGCAGAGGCAGCTAAACGTTTGCTAGATGGACGACCATGGCCTGGTTTTCCTGATATCCAAGTACTATCAATAAAATTTGCTACTCCACCTTATCGACAGTCAGTAAATCCATCAAAATCTAAAAACAATTTTAAGAGGCCGTTCATAAATCAGAACTTCCGCACCGACTGCTTCAGTGATCCTCTTTCTACCCAATTACCGTCCCACAACAAAACCTCAGCTCCAGAGGTCTACGCACCCTCAGGTCCACAAATACCTTTCATCCCAAATAACATATGCTCAGCATTAGCTAATTCTGTCCAAGGATCATTACTACAGTCTTCCACTATTCAACCACAGTTGAATCCACAGGGTTTATTGTGGAGTAATGATTACCCCAATGCTGAATATCAAAATCCCGCATCTGCCTTAAGCGTAGCTCCCAATTACGTGACCCCATACATCTATTCTCAACAACCCTACCCGAATCTCTGGTTACCTCTCCAACAAAACTACCTCAGTCAAATTCCTTTAACCGCTTTATGCACTAATCAACTCGAAAGCTATGGTAATTCAGTGCAAGGTTGTCCTATATTCACTAACGTACAGAACACATTTTATCCTGCTCCCAATCAACATAAGCCCAATATTCCCCTTAAAAATTCTGATGTGATTTGTAAGCAGCCAAATGAATTATCGTATTTCGGTCGACCAAAACCTATGAAAACTGATAAGAACGAATCTACATCTGTTTACATATATAATATTGGGAACATGACAGAAGCACAGACTTATGTTTTATTCTCTCAGTTTGGACCGGTTGTCAGTGTTTCTATACCAAAAGATTACAAAACAAACACTTCCCGAAATTTTGGCTTTGTTACTTACAGTAACTTCCAGAGTGCACAAAATGCTATAGATGTAATGAATGGATTACTTTTATCTGGTCGACGACTTCAAGTTTCATTTCGGCAAAGCAAAGGAAGACCAATCAAGTTTGGAACTGTTGGTAACTGCCGTACTGTGGGAAAATCAGTTCCGAAACAAAAAGGCGAAATTCCAGATTCTGGTTGCCACAGTCCACAACTATCAAGTGACAAGTTAGACTCTGCTAACACTTTACCTTCAGACAATCTACAGGTTTCGGAAACTATTGAAGCGTTGGCAGATTTAAGTATATCTAACGGAAATAATGTATCTTCTTTGAAGTCGAACGACACTGTGTAAAGTACGGTTGAAAAATTCAGTTAAAAGGGACTGAGTGTAATATTGATATATTGTTGTTTTTTTTCTCTTGTGAACATTTTACTTTAATTATTTTAAACTTTTTTTCGTGCACATAAATGACACCATGTACATATTTATATATATATACAAGATGCTAATCTTATTAATGATAAACTTCTGCCAATACCATCATGGGATTATTTCTTCAGGTCTTATTTCCTTCCCCCCTCCCCCCCCCCAACTGTTCACTACTGGCTGATATTTTGTTATAAAATATTCTCCGAAGGAGATGGCTAGTTCTCTGAGTTTGTAGCGATATAAGCAGTGAGCTCGGCGTTTCTAAATAAGTGTGTTATGTGTAGCTCTCAAAGTTTTATTTCCAGTTGTAATCAAATAGGATTACCGATGAAGTCTGTCAACTTTAGGTTAGTATAAAACTCCGGCTCTTCTTGTCACTGATTGAGTTTCAGCATAGAAATTAGCATTGAAGCGCAGCAGTTCACTTTGTTGTTACACTCCATGTAGTTCAATGGTAGACAGGAAAGAGATTCGAAAGGATTAAAAATAAGCAGAAATGTGAGGCAGAAAGAATAGCAAGTGAGAATAATTTTGAGCCGTATCACTAACTGTTTCAAAGTATTACTTCTTATCATCCTGAGAACCCCAATCAGGAGACCTAAACCTCCCTACCTGTCTGGCTCAAACCAACTATCAAAGACTTCAGAGATTGGTGCTAGGTTTTGGTTTGGTAGCCACCAACTCTTTTCCAACCCAACTCTATGTCAACTAAGATTGCTCGTTGAAGAATGCGGTGATTGGGGATACGCAACACGTGTCCTAACCACCTTAATCCATGTAGCTTCACAACGATAGATGTTCCCTCCTTAACTAACGCTACTTCTAACTGCAGTATTTCTAACCATATTATACCATTTAACACGAGAGGCAGAACGCAAATATCTGTGACGAAAGACTGCTGGTCTTTGCATATCTTCCACTTTTGATGGTCATGTCTAACAGCCATTAAGGAGGATGGAGCAAACTGCTGCTTTGCAGTACACACGTCCTTTGACCGGTAGGAGGATATTAACCTACTTGGGAGATGATGTAGATTAGTGAATACCACACAAGCGTTTTATATCGTCGCTAAGAGTTACAGAAGACTTGTCAACCGAACTTGTACTTGTGAATTCCAGTATCTGTATACAAGAACAGAATATGTAGTAGTTATCAGCAGAATTCCAGCTTTTCGGCATTACAATGTGTGAGTTATGTACTGGGCAACTTTTTGACTACAATTAATTATCCGTGAATAATTTTTGGAGCTAGTTTCTGTAGCATTCTTCTGATTCGGTGTTCTTGTTTTCGTTCTTGATAGGGTACTGTCAATAATTTTAGAACAAGTGTCAGATTATACTCATTACCATTAAATGCATGACTACAATTCACCAGATGCGTACAACTTCTTATGTTAGACAATGAATTATATCTTGCTGCACAAACCATTGAGGTGAAATTCTGGATGCCATTTAATCATGTATTACAAAGTGGAGCATTTCAATCAACTACCAACTGTCTCAGAGGTTTCCAGTTTCTTGGCGAAGTATATATATATACATATATGCATTCATCCACTCCTTATTTCCCCAAGTAGAACATTGGGCTTCAAGCCTTTGAGGTTTCAGTAGCAGTGAAGTTGTTTTTTACGCAGTGGAGTCAAAAGCTTCATGTTCAACCTTCTGTCTTCTTTGAGTTTACCACCGGTTAGGGTTAGTTGAGGAGTGTGCGTCGCTGACAGTTGAACTCGGACGTCTCGCGTGGCTTGATAGCATTCTACCATTGAACCACCAAAGCACAAAGTCCAGGTCACGATTCTTCTTTTAAGTGTATAGCCGTTGTACTATCTGGTCATAATCGCTGATGTAAATATTAGTAAATGGATACTCAGGTATTTTCTATTAATTTAGTCTTTGTCACCATTAATTTAGTTGGCATTTGCTCGGTGTGTGTAATGGAATCCAGTTATCAGATTGGTTGACATTAGTTGTCAGGAAAATATAACAAGCTCAATGGATGGTATTATTGAAATTATGACCTGTATTAAGAGCGTTTTATGCTTTGCTGGTGCAACATTACAAATAAATTCTATCGATTTAAAAAAAAATTGCCTTTAAAACTTGTTAACCTCATGTCTTATCTATGCTAGAGGAGATCCTAAGAGGAGGAGATGAGATCTTATGGGCAATCGTGGAGCCACGTAAAGAAGTCTGCAGAGAATAAGATGAAGTGAAGACGTGCTTTTGAAACGCTGTGCTCTACTCCAAACTTAAGCGAATAAAAATAGACGAAGCAGTAAGAAGACCTAATCTATTTGAATCGTGTAATGTATTTGCTCAACACATTTTGAACAATCTGATCATACAATGATTCCCTTATGTAAATTTGAACAAAGAAAGAAGAAACATTGGTGCAGAATAATCTGGATCCATTTTATTTCGTTGGCTCTCATCATCTTACAAATTGAATTCTTTAATAAAATAAAGTGTACAGTTTTAAAAATTTTGTCCATTAGGAAGCATGTTGTCAGAGGGTCATAGTGAAATAAGGCGTTGAGATTTAAAAGGTGTCTAAAGCGTTACGACATATGTATATATATATATATATATATATATATATATGTATCTTGTTAGAGAGAAGTTTCTTGAAATAAATTAACTAACAGTTTTGTTGTTGGGGCGGTAACAAAAGACAAGTAGCGATAGTTACGTAATTAGATAAGAGAAGATCAAAGTTTTGGTGCACATGAGGTCAGATGAGAAGTTGATGTTCTAATACAAGAAAAATTATCTTTTAAGAAAGTCAAGTGAAAAATAAAGGGAGGGGGGATGAAAAGATAAGTAAACAAAATTAGAAAACAAATAGTTACTAAGAAATGAGTCACCCGGGTAGTTGAAGTCCAACAACGGATTCTTTTTGGACACATAAATCAGGCTTCAATCGTTTTATTGCTATAACTTCAGAAAACCTGAGAAGACTTGAGGTACTTTGTCTGTTAATTATTTTGAATGATTCCAGCACATCTACTCAGTGTCCTGTGTCAATCAGGTGTTTGGCGATTGAAGAACTTAAACAATTCGGTCCCTTCAACCGGAGGCTCCTTGGTACATGTTCGCAGAATCTGATGTAGGCCCTCTTTTCTATTCTTCCAATGTAACTGCTCCCGCAGATCTAATCATACACGGACCTGTCATAGGAATATATATGAAATTAATAAAGAGCTAAGAAGTGATAAAATAGACTTAGGTTAAGTTAAAAGAACATATTTAAGGTCAAAATAACAATGAAGATCACTAAGCCAAATAAGAGGGCTAATAGTACATCTACCCTGGCTGATATCAAAACAAAGTTTACCAAGGAAGGTTTAGTGTGATGACTAATTGTTGCTTTGAATAAAGGTGGCTTAAACTTTCTAATTACTAGGATTTCCACAAACTTTGGGATACGCCACAAACACGTTTTAGAGATAGGTTTAAAAGATGTGTAAACGTCAATTTTATGTCCTGTCTTCTCTGTAATATGTTTCGCAATTGAGGAGCTAGTTCTCCTGTTCACATCATTGATGGTTTCTGGGGTTCCTTTATTTGAATAGTAATATGTGACAGATGCCGTTCAAGAGGATAGGCGTTTGTAAATGAAGTAAAACTTGGACAGTTGTACTCTAATATATTAGCATAATCTGTTAAGTATGCCTAATACCTCCTATCGGCCTATTAAAATGAATATTTATAAAGAATATTGATGAGAGAAGTTTAAAAACTATGTCCGTACTTCCACTTCAGTATATATATATATATGAGTTAAAGTTTGTAGATTTCTCAATAAGGACATTTCATATAACTAATCCGTTTTCTTATTTAAGTAACTTAATTAGTAAAACAAAAATAAACTAGTTTCGATTTTCAAGGTCATGTGAATTAATCTTTACGCTCTACAATATTCATTCATTTATATTCAGTGACTTCAAGTATAAGTTATTGCGTAGGTTGAAAAAAATTGAAAACAGTGTCTATCTTATTTGTAGTTCATACAATATAAAGAGTGAAAATGAAGTACCAAGGTTAGTTTAATTGACGACACCAGTGAGTGTATATTTCAGTGCATTGGATTTATAAACTGTGACAATAGGTTGTTTCTTTGTTTAATGAAGTGTATACAGCAAATTTATGCCAAAGTTCGCGACAAACATTATCAACTGCCGGTGTTGTATTTAGAGACACACGATAACAGGTGATCAAATATTATTACTTTGTTTTGTGCGAAATTTAACAAGTGAAGATAAAAGCTATCGCGTATCGTGTAGCAAACGCATCTGTGGTTCAGCGGTCGAACGCTCACCAATCGTCCATACGGTTCGGAGTTCGACCTCCGGCCGACTCACTCCCGAACCTCGCCAACCTGGTAGTAAGGCTGATAAAAAGAGAAGGTTGAACGTGAGGCCACTAGACCCACCTCGTAAAACCAAAAACCACTGCCCTACAGAAACTGCAAAGCTGCAAGCCTTATGTTCCATTGGGGACTTAAAGGAATAAGAAAAATAGCAGATGCCACAACAGATATTCCAGCTATGTGGAAAACTTCATATAACACCTTGAAAGCGACCAAACGTAATATCTAATATGGTGACAGTATTCCTTTAGGCGCATATTATCAATTCACATAAGACCTACTACCTGAAGAAATTCACATCGTAATCTCATACGCTTGGTTCTGTGCGATAAATTTGGTTAAAGTAAGAAAGACATATTTTCGCTGAATAAAGTGGTATCATTCTATTTCACAGGTTCTCATCAGCTAGCTGCACACCACTACCTGAAATTATAATGGTTATAAAATAATGAAAATAACATACTTCAGTGTTTGAATGGTAGTAGAGAAAATGTTATAAAGAAATGTAAGCGTTACAGCTTCTTAGCTTAAATTACCATCAATTTATACGCTTTTCAGAGTAGAAAATGAGGGTAGGGATGGTGAGAAAAATCTAACAAACACTGTTAGCTTATAAGTTCACATTACACCTTAAGAAGGCTATATTTCATGAGATTACAATAAGCTGAAGTCACTAATATGGGTGATTTATCAAAATGAGTTAATTTTATAATATTTTGTCTGCTACCATTCAAACATTATAATCAGAAGTAGTAGTCTGCAGCTGAAAAGAACCCGTGAAATAGAATGA